ACAACTCCACTATTGGTTAAATAGCCACCCATTAATGGCAAACAACGCTTCCATATTGTTATCAAGGTATCTATCGCACCTTCCCTGATCTCCAAAGACGGCAGATGGGGAAGAAAATCATTACCTACGAAAAAACAAAGAAAAACCCAGTCATCGATCGCATTTTCCAAATTAAATGGCCAAGATATACTGGATACTTTAAGTTCAATTTCCAAATATTCTCGAAGAATTTGAACATTAAGAAATATATATGGTTTTATGATCATAGCCTTTCCTTTCTCATCATATTGTCCTTGTTTTTGTTTAGCTTGACCTATTAAAAAAACATTTTTAATTATTGTTAACCAGATAACCAGTGGATTTTCGACAAAAAAAAAAAAAGAATTTTAATAACCTGTGCACTGATTAGCTATATGATCCGATTGTCCACATATAAAACATCCTCTATAAATTCCTTCTTGAAAGAAGACGTCTTCTCGTAGCACTTTAAAATGAGGTTCATGTGTAGCCAATGAAAGCATAATAAGATCGGCATCCTATAAATCAAAAAGAATCGTTAGCAAAACATTTATTAATGCATGTATTAAGTAAGATCGGAATTTTTTTTTTAAAAAATGTAAGAACCGACCAAGCCATATATTACGTGACAAGTGTTAGGATCGTGATATGGACTACCACGCTGTGCACGAATAAAATCCATAATTTTGTGTTCACCTTCACCTGGTACACTCGCATCAGATAAGATGACTTTTAACTGTAAAAGTGTAATCGAAAAGTAAATCAACAAAAATCGATAACATAAATATCAATCCTTTTTTTTTAAAAAAAAAAGCAACATGCATTTTTCCATCCTGGCTCAGTATTAAGTTTATCTGCGATCCAATATCGTAAACATTCTGCAAGGCGTGCCATAAAAGGCGTACCTATTATTAATATAGATCAAATTGCAATTAATGATCCGATATAACATCCTTTTAAATCAATTAATGGCATATATACCTGGAGTTATACAGTTACTATCAAATGACTTTTTTTGTTTGAGAGTTGTATCTATCGATTGTCCTGACGCTAATAAAGATAATGAGCATGATTGAAGACTATTTAAAAATTATTAAGTTAACGAGTTACATACCTTCAAGCCTTTCTATCTCATGAGTTGCTTCTTCCGCCTTTTCCTTATCTTCTTGTGCAGTTCTAAATCTACGAGATCTTTGTTGATTCATTTTAGCACGAGGTGCCACTCCATCTAAAAGCAAAGACATTATGGTTTAATTTATTAGACAATTAGATTATAAAAAAACTACTTATGATTTACCAATAGCGAGATATAAAACCCTTCGAGGGCGAATCATAGCAACTATACGCTCAGTATATTTAAATATTTCAATCATCATATCTTCTTCAGTTTCTGGAGCAGGCTTATAAATAGTTAACATAAAATTTAATAAACGAGCTAATGATGAAATTTTGATACATTGTAAAAAAAACTTTAATTTACCTTGTTATCCGGATGACAACAAGGATGAATAATGCCATTCATATCTAAATATAAATTATCGAACTCCATCTTATTAGGATTTGGTTTAGAAATATCAACTGGAATTTCTACTCCATTAACTTCAATTGGTCGTTCTTCGATGACCTGTTCAATGATTTTAGGATATTTTTT